GAGCCAGGGTAGGGACCGCGCTGCGGTAACGAGGCTGCCCGGGGGCTGCTGAGCCAGAGCCCCAAGCCCGGGCGCTTTGCGCTGCTCAGTCCGTGAGAAATGAGAGAGGTTCCCGGAGGTCCTAAACACCCCAAATCGCTTATGCTTTTTAAGGCCTAAACTGCTGTTTTTCCTCTGCTTCCCCCAGGTGGAAATAAGGCCTTTATTTCTGGTCTTCCCTGCCCAAAGGGAGCTGGCTTGGGTTGTGGCTGTGGATTGTCATGTAAACTAATGCTTTTTAGGGCCTGCAGAGTTGATAGCGATTCAGGAAAAAGAAACAGTCTGTTGTGTGCACGTGTTGTATTAATACAGAAACATAAAATAGAGTAGAAGTGAAACTAATGGATAATCGGGCAGAAAAATGAGCAGTTTCCTCATTTGCAGTGGTCTTTGATACTCAGTAAGATTTGTGGGATATATATATATTTGCTTTAACAAAGGTTTCTGTTCCTTTTCTTTGTAGTACTATTAGAAAAACTCTAATTAACATAGAAATTATATTCAGGGTGGCTACATGTTGGTATCAAAGAAAGGAATGGTAAAACAGCTAAAGAAACAAAAGCCATAGGGCTGATATCCATAGCTAAGAGCAAGCCTCATATTCCCTGTCACTTTCTAGGAGCAAAAATTTAGGGGAATCAGGATTTCCTGTTTTGAATTCTTTCCCATTTGCATGTAATTAACTTTTCCCCCCTTTTCTTTTTCTCTCTCTTCCCCTTCCTTAAGCTCTTCCCAGGAGGCAGCTTCCCATGGAGGCAGGAGATGGTGCTATTTACACTCCCGTTCTGCCTCCCGAGGAGCAGCAGGTGCTCGATCGCCTCGACTTCATCCTGAGCAACTTTGCGGAGCTGCGGCAGGAGGTGCAGGAGCTACGAAGCACCTTGCAGTGCTTAGCTGCCGAGATCGTTGCTGAAATCAAGTTAGTTTTTCAGTATTTCAGTATTTTTCTATCTATTGGTCTGTTCTTACACACGAAAAACTTACAGATGCACAGAAATACAACTGGCATTGGTTAAAAGTATGTTGAGTCTGGAGGTAAAAGTAGAATACTGTTTCTGTGGTTTTATATTGCTGCCAACTGTAGGCAACTTTTGATAGGTCTAAAAGGTCCTGTGTGGTGTGAGATCTTTTGGGATCCCTTTATTGAGGAAATCCTAGGAATGCACACAATGTGATTGTTCCTTTGAGCATGGATTGCTGCAATCAGGCTGGTTTTAACTGTGGTATGCAAAGTTTGCTCCCTCATAATACGATCTCTGTATAAGGAAGAGCAACCGACCTATGAATTGGACAGAATGTAGTGGAGAGGGCATACGGAAGGGCAATAGCAACCATTTCATTACCAAATATGTGCTTTCTTTTCATTTTCTTATTTCCTATAAAGGTCCCATCTAGAAGAAACGCAGAAAGTAACTCGCCGAAGGCGGTTCCCATTTCCCAGAGAAAGAAGTGATTCCACAGGCTCCAGTTCCATTTATTTCACAGCCAGCTCGGGAGCAGCCAATACAGATGATGGTGAAAGTGAAGGAGGGTAAGCAGAACGCTGGGTAAGAAGTTGTTTTTATGGGGTTTATGCTCATACTTACGTATGAGCAATCTATAACAGAGGAGGTTTCACCTGCCTTTCTTGTATTGTTCTGTCCTCTATTGTGTTTCGTAAGGAAAACTTTCCCTCCGAGCCCCTTGTGACTGTTTAAACAAGGGAAGCTGGAGCCTTCCAGTGGCATTTCGCTGGCAGTCTGGGTGGCACGTGGCAGTTTAAAGAGAGAAATAACTGATACCCCTGGGAGCAAGGCAGGCAGAATCCTCTGCTGTACCATTCTGCTCAACAGTAGCCAGATGCCCAGTCAGCTCGTGCGAACTGCCCCCCTGTAAAAGGGCTTAGCAAGCACAGGACAAAGCAGTTACTGTATCTGGCTCCCAGAACAAAGGGCACAGTCTTTGTCCCTGCCACAAAGACACGTCACTTTTTTTTTTTTTTTTAGTATCTCCAATAACTGGAATAGGAGCACAGAGGAGTTCGGTCCCATCTAGGTTATCTGGCTGCTTTGTTTTGTTTGGAGTGCATAGGGTTTCAGAGTGGTTGTATGGAAGGAGATGAAGAAAGTGAATGATTCGTGATGGGGAAATATGCAAGATTTCCAGAATAACAAGGTGCAAGGTGAAGGAGTATTTTAAGACTGTAATCTATATTTGATTCTGAAGACAAATGCCTTGACTTATAAGGGGTGCCAGCAGATATTTTGTGAAGCCTACCAAAAAAGGATGGTGTTTTTCAACAGATACCAGACCCAAGTATAATAAAATTAACTATTTTCTAATAATTAGAAGTCCTTGTAGAGGCTAACAAGCTGCTTGATTTTTACCCAGCCTATCTTCCCCAGGCCTTTATGAACTGTGGAGCAGGAATATATTTTATTGCAAAACCTTGGTACTTTTTTGTGAAGCTGGTGATAGTTGGTGGAGTTCTCACATTTTATTTAACACCTGTAGATAGTTTTCTGATGTAGAGAATTAGTGAATAAGCAGCTGTCATCTGATTTCAAAAATATGTTTGAGTAGTAATTGTTTGGCCCAGGTGTTCATCCTGCACAAAAAGGTGTAAAATTAGTGGATTCAGGAACCAATGCCTATAGCATGCAATGTTGCCCTTTAGAGATTAAATACTAAATATTTTTTATTAGAAAATCTGGGTAGGAAATGTGCTTTTTGGGGAAGACTCCTTAATTTTCTCAGGGGCACCTGGGAGGAAGAATAAAGGATATCTCAGTAGATAAACTTCAACAATGTATTCATTTCTGGTAATTGCCTCATATTAATTAATTACAAGCTTTCAGGAGCCAAAGGTCCCAAACTGTTTTATGGATATTGATTTCTCTGTATCGTTGTTCTCTAATGTTTCTCTGGCATTGCATGGTTCTTCTGGCCTATTTTGTCTCCTCTTCAGATGTAGTTTTGAGTTCCAGATAGGATGTTTCCATTCAGGATGTGTACTAGACAAGGCCTTAACATACTAAAACGTTTAAGAACTTTTCATCATCACGTACTTGAGGGAAATTTGCGGGTAACGTCCACATCCCATAATCTTTCTGGCAAATTTTTGTTTGTAGTGTTATGAGAATTGATCATACTTAATTTGAACTGCAGAGAGAATTTGAAGAGATGATGTTTTAAGTACAGAAAACAAAGTAGCCAAGTGAAGCAGTGCTGGGGTCATCTAGCTCAATGTGTTTGTTAGCTATTGAAGGCAGTGCTGCTTAAGCAGGTATGTGTTAAACTACAAAGGAGGGCTAGAGCTTGTGGTGAGAGGGGGTATTCATTTACCCTCTGGTAGAGAGGGTAAATGCTTGATTATAACTAATGATTCTTGGAAAACTGAAGCTCTGTGAGGCCAAATGTGTCTCGTTATCTTTGTGAGGCCAAACTGCTGTAACTGCTTTCTCTAGATATGGACTTTGGTCACATATCTTTGTTTCCAGATGAAGCTGGTTTCGCATACAGAGCACTAGAATTTCCTAGGGAGAACAGTGAGAAATTCAGACAGTAGATGAGATGATCTGGCAACTTCCTCAAGCTGCCTGAAGGGAATACAGCACCTAATGCCTTCCCTGTCCCCCCTGGTTGCAACGAGTTCAAATAGCAACACGGAGCTTTTGAAGTTTAGCACAGAGCTTGGGCATAGTTTACTGAGATAGCAGCTGTACAGAGCATCTAGAATTAAATGTTTGTTTATTTTAACCATTTTCAGAAAATTTGATCTAAGCCTGGTTCTCTTTCACTTGACTAATTTAGCAGCTAGTCATTGCCTGGGTTTTTGTGCACTTGTGATGTCTCGGTGTGGCTCATCTGCTTGAAATGCTTTTGATGACTCTCCTGCTGTTTTTGCACATTTTCACACGTCAGTGTGAACGAGCTCTTTGATATTTGGAGCGCAGGCAGTGTGTTATAGGTACTAGAAAATCTCCAGGATATGATTAAAACACTCAAATTACATCTACATGGGTGAGTGAATGTGTTGGATCAAGCGTTGACATTCTCTTCTTCAATCTCCACCTTGGTATGGCCCAGGTCTGTTTGGAATATGCTTAATTCCTAAAAATAAAAGGCCTAAGAGAACTGCTTGCTGCCTATGACAGTTTTATAACTACTCAGTGTAATTTTGTTTCACTTTTGTTTCTGAAAGGTACACAACAGCCAATGCTGAGTCTGATTATGACCGGGAGTCAGAGCAAGAGAGCGAGGAAGGGGAAGATGAAGTGAGCTGTGAAACAGTGAGGACTGCACGAAGGGATTCTCTAGAGCTGGTCAACGAGGATGATGTTCATTTAATCCCAGACTCTTCAGTGGAGGAAGGCATGGGGCAGCTCCTGCAGCAGGCTGACCAGCTGCATAACGGAGATGAGCAGGAAAAGAGAGAAGGATTCCAGCTGCTCCTTAATAACAAACTGGTGGTAAAGGTTGACTTTCTATATGTCCAGCAATGACTTATGCTTTTAACTAAATGGTTGGGAGAGAGGAAACCATGTTTAGGGATTTAGATTTTGCACAGTTGGGCCTGCTTCCAGCCACTCTGTCAGCAGAATCACTAATCACCCTTTCAGCAGAAATACAGGGAATGAATTAATAGATTATTTGATCAGATTCCAATTCTAAGGCAAATTCCTCTTTCTCCCAATGAGGAAAGAATGGGAGGCCTGTCATCCTCTGCGATTCATTGCAGTTTCATTGCAAAACAAGCCAGTGAGACCGTTAGGTGTTTGGGCTTTATGTTTTCAATCTGTTAAAGCTTTTTGCAGGTTTGGTGCCGTTTGTGGGTTTCAGAACATGTCTGTGTGACTCCTGTTGTGTACATCCACACTTGTTTTTTTTCCTCGTGTCCTCTGTTCATGGCAGAATGGGTTTCCCACAGAGCTGATAGATGCCATTTGTGCTTTTACTGCAGTACGCAGACCAGAAAGATTTTCTGTGGCGCCTGGCCCGAGCGTATAGTGATATGTGTGAAATCACAGAAGATGCAGAGGAGAAGAAATCGTATGCATCTGATGGTAAGGAAATGAGTCTGCAGGGCTGGCCATGTCTCAAGCTGGCTTTACTCTTCGGCTTAATAACTCTGCATTGTAAACAATGTTGTATATTTTCCGGTTTCCTTAAGGAAGTGAGTAACAGCAGTGCTATGGTATATGTTTGAAATTTTGCTTTCTAAAACACAGAAAAGGTAGGTAAACCCAGGCAGGGCTAACTTAAGCTGTGTAAATCTGTTTTCTCAAACCACACAATACAGGCGTGATGAGAAGTCTTTGCTGTAATGCATTTAACTTTTTTGTGTTGCCATGATATTCAAGTGTAAAAACAAACAAAAACCCTAAATTTTTAAACGTCTCTTTACTTACCAAAATCTGTTCAGTTTCATTTTGTGATTCCTCTTCACCATTTCAAATATGTTTTAGAACACTGCAAGTGGTACAAAACTTAAATGAAGTTTTTTGTTTTTTAGTATATTTAATATACCACAATAGTCTCTGTTGTGTGTTTTGTTTTGTTTTTCCCCAGTAGTCTAAATTGTTCTTTTCTGGAAACCACTACAGCTATTTAAAACACTTAAAGCTCTTCTTTCAAACATGGCAAAACCCCATTATGTGCTTAAATTTGCATGATCTCTTTGAGCACTCTTAGGTGCTCCATATAATTGCAATAACGTGCAACTGTTCACAGGGCATTTTCAAGCCAAAGTATTCCAGAATTAAGGAATGTGTACAGTTTTATGCCATTTATTATCGTACTCTGACTGGAGAAAGGAGCTAGGAGAAATGGCGACTGAATTTCTTACCTCTGAATTTCTCTGCAGGGAAGCAAGAAATAGAAGCTGCCTTACAGAAATGGGATCAAAGTGCTGAGTACCACCAGTGGTATGTAACTCTTAGTTCTCATCCTTAAGTAACATTGGAAAAGGAATATGTGTGAGCTAAGCTGCATTAAAAAACACAAAATGTCACTTTCCTCTTCTAGGGAGTATCCTACACTAATGCTGTTTTCCTTAGCCAGCCATTATTAACAGCCTTGGTTAATTGGCCTAAGTAATAGCCTGACAGGCAGTAGTCAGTTACAGAGAGAGACTTGGATTTGCTAAATTGTGGCCATTTTATTGTGAACTTCTCAGAGAGAGCGGTTGTCCAGAAGACTTCTTGAACAGAAGGTAACACTAAAGCTAATAAATTTCTGTGGATACTGAGGGTAGGTGGTGTCAGGGTTTTTTTGACAGTCTGCACTTAGCTCATGCTGGTTACAGTGAAACATCAGCTGCCAGATGAGTCCAGAAAAGTTAGCTATTGACAAAATGGGTTTGAGGTAAATAAGTACAGTAAGGTCTATTTGGTTTACAGCAGCCAAAGTTTGGGAATGAAACTACATATTCTTCCTTTTTGACATTTCAAAGGCTTGTACAATTAAAAGGGTCTCTTAGGGAAGAAGTGTGCAGGGATGCACCAGCCCCCTTGGGATGGAGAGATGTTGGACAATCCCTCCTTCCTTGTGAGGACAAGATGCCTCTTGATTTAAGAGACTTGTGTAACTGTGATATCTGCCACTGAACGCTGGAATTCGTAAACAGAAACTCATAATCTGATGCTGAAAGATAAAGATGAATTTATGTGTTTATTCTGCAACTTTCTAATAGATGGCTATGATTTTTCCTTACATAAATATTGCCTAAACTCTCACTGGTGTCAAAACTATGCAAAGAGTTACAGTTTTGGAATTAAGTAGCAGAAAATGCTAACTGAACATTGAACTCAAATAATAGTTTGTTCTGGAGTTACACGTTTGATATTTTTAAATCAACAAAAGTGGTTATTTTTAAATTAATCTGCCAAACTTTAATCTGCCAAAACTAAGCTTAAGAGTTGTTTTTAGTCTTTTGGTTCAGTTCAGCACACATAGCAGTTATTGTAACTAATTGCATTTTTTTACTGAAGATTTTTTTAGGAAGAGTCAAGTGAATGTAAAACAGCTGTTAATGGGGAAGCAGTAAAACTGCTAAACAGGCAAAATAAGAACAAGTTTTTTCCTCTCCCTTTAGTCTTGTTTTCTTTTCATCAAGTGCACAAAGACAAGCAGAAACTGCTGCTTTCATGGTGCTCACATGTCTTAAGCCTTTTCTGCTATGGCAGCAGTGGCAGTGTATGGCTTTTTCTGTGCAAAATCGTGGGATTCTTTTCCAGCATGATACTCAATCAAGTGATCTGTGATTTAAATATATAAAAAAGTACTGTGGTTGCATAACTGCTGCATTTGGTTAGGATTTTGGTATGCATATAGGCAAGAGAAGGGCAGGAACCTTGGTATCCTCAGTAGCCCTTATGAACAGGCTTTTGTTGGAACTTGTGTGTGAGCAGTTGAACAGATTGTCTTTGCACAAAAATACAGTGCAGTGTAGATTCTGCAGACAAAACAGGGGCAGGCAGTAGGCTCTTCTGGCCTTTGGTTAGTTGCTTGGTAAGCACTGTTGATCAGCAGTTACATGCTCATCTGTAAAACAATAAAAGAAGAGGAATTTGGGGAGATTTTTTAATTTCAGAAAAACCCTAGGATGTTAAATGCCTTTACTGAAGGAGACCTATGCTCTTCTGAGATGAACAGTTGTACCTGGAGGATCTGTTTGGACTGCTGACTTGGGAATAAATGCATTTATGGCCTTAAAAAGGCTCTGTGTTTTGGTTGTTAGTCATGAATAGCAGTTGTCATTTTAACTCTTGATATAAAGCAAGAGTCCTGGGGCAGGCAGTGGGCCTAATGTCTTGAACAGATGCTTTAGCTTCTTGAAGGAATGCATTTTAGTCACCCCATTGACTCTTCAGAAAGTTTGAAGCTGCTTTAGTACTTGGGCTTTACAGAGCAGAATTCCACTTCAAAGGGAAATATTGATGGATGAATTTTATAAACCAGAGCTTTATTGTGTATGCAACTAGCTGACACAAGAGTTTTTTGAGGAGCTCTGGCTTCTGAGGCTTGTCTGAAATGTGAGTAGGTTCAGATTATTTGGGTGAACTCTTGGGTACCGCGCTATGTGTTATTAAAGCTGATACTCTTTTATTTCTTTCTTTTGAATTTTGTGTAAGGACCTCAGCATGGTTCCATTAAATCCATGGGCTTTTTGAATGATATCTTGGCTGTGTTGGCAGTTATGTGATGTTTAACCATTTGTCTCCAAGAGCAAATCTTGAGCCTTTAAAGCTGAGCCCGATGCTTCTGTTGCAACCTGGGTCCCCCTCTTTTGGGACCAGTTTTGTTGAAAGAGTGCACGAGCTCTCATCCCCATGAACCTCCCCCTGCTCTGAACAGATGCAAAGTTCCTGTCTTTGCACACATCTGCCTCTTTTCATTCCAAAGAGCAGCTGCAGAAAGGAAATAGCAGAGCTGCATGTGGGAGACATGGGATTTAGTGGAAAGGAATACATAGCTACCTTTATCAGTAATAGAAATAATTTTCTATCATAAATAAAATGGGAAATGGTTCCTTTTTCAGCTCTGGGTTGTGGACTGGTCACAGACTTTTCTGATTACAGTCTGTTCTTACACTGGTTAATTTTTCCCCTGAAGAAAAAGAATATGATGTTACACAGTATGTGAAATAGAGATACACAGTGTTTGAAGGCTCGGAGCTGTTGGCTCATACATAGTTTCAAAATATATTATAGGGTCTCTTGATTCTGGGATTGGTGCCGTTGATCAGAATTCTGATTAGTTCCCCATACTGTCTGTAACCCTACCTAGGAGCAATGTTAAGAGTAATAGAAATTAGGTGAGCAATAGCCAGAGAAAAATGATTCTATTACAATGTTCGTTTTAGGAGAGAGAGCCAGAATTGAATGCAGAACACAAGTTGCGAGCATTATGGATTTATATACTATCCTTGTGGTGATTCTTTCTTGTGTGCAGTATTTTGTGGCTAGACTGGTTGAAGGCTTTGGCAGCTTGATAGTTAAGTGGTTTCTCCAGATTGATATGGAAAGCAAAGGGCCTGAGACTCAGTCTGGACTGACCTTAAAATCTTCAAGCCAAATGTCCTGTTCAAATGGGTGTCAGCAAGAGTGCAGCCTTGAAAATGTAGGGTTTATTTTTTTCAAAGCTGCATGTATGGAGCCCTGGGATTTAAGAAAGAAAAACAGATAGTCTCTCATCAGTATTCTTTCCGACAGAGTTCATTTTCTAATAAACGGGGAAATCCGCGTTGAGCTGAAGTTCCAATGGGGTCTTGTGGTTTGATCGAGGTCTGCAACTTAGTGAATAATTCTGGTTACTAATTAATCCAGCAAATAGCATAATACAAGGTTCTGGTAATCTGCTTAGATACCCGATTGTTGTTTTGGAGGGTATGTAATGTTTACAGAAGAAGAAAGTCCCCTTTGCTAACTCATTATTTCTCATCCATCCTGTTATGGTTTGTTAAATCTTTCTGCAACTCGATAGTGCCTCTCGTGAAATTCATCCCAAGGCATTTTGCAAAAACGAATGGGAATGAATACCTCAAGCACTGAAGAGCAAGCCAGGCTAAACAAGCAGGGGAGATGAAAGCAGACACTATGTTGGCATAACAGAGAGGGAGGGAAGTCGGGATCCAAAGATCTCACCAGCCAGAAAGACCTGCAGGGTCTTGACCAAGGGCCAGACCAGCCCTTCTGGACTGCGAGGCGCCCTTCGAAGAAGAGAGTTTGTGCCAAGGGCTGAAACCAAGCAGATATGTCTGGAGCTGGGGCTTTTTATCTTGGGACTGCTGTGAACAAAGCTGCTGAGGAATCTCATACTGATTTTTAATTTTACATCGTGGAAATATCATAGGGATGATAGCTGATGGTTTTACTAGGCACTCTCCTTCCCTTGCGGTCTCTTATTGGTAAAATCTAAATGAGTTTGACTTGGAGCACTGAAAAAAGCCCTATTGTTTTGTTTCCCAAGTTTGGTGGCAGTTTTGGGCTGCGGGATATAGGTAGGTTTTACTGTTTTTTTTTTTCCCTCAAAGTAGCCATTCAGTGTGCTGTAGATATGGTGTTGTTAGTGAATGACTGTCATCTACCTTGTAGTTAAGTAGAGCTTTCAGTAGCTAGGGCTTTCGTAGTTGTAGGCTTTGGTTTTCACACAGTTTCATTGTTTAAAAACAGAAAAATCAGAGTGTAGAAGTATGCTATATAGAAAAGTATTCTATATAGAAAAAAGGCTTTCCAGTGACTAATGCTTCCCAACTTTCATGCCTGGTCAAACCACTGCTCTTTGACTTGCTGCTTTCCTTTCAGCTAATACTTTTCCTGTGTGTGTCCCTTTCCTGTAAAGCTCCATGATGTTCCCTGCTTTCCCCAGTAAACTGTGGAACTTAGAGGCACTTCAGAAGGGAGATAGTTACAGAATGTAAAATGTGTCTTTTTTTGCAGCTGCTAACAGGAGTTGAAATGTCTTAAAAATGTCTTGTGTGTAGGTATGCTGTGCTCTGTGGGCAGTTAGCGGAACACGAGAGCATTCAGAAGCGCATTCAAGTTGGCTATGTTTTTAAGGTGAGTAAAAATAGGGGAAGTTGTCCTTGTGTGAGTTTTGGACAGCGTTTTTCCCATTTCAGTGAGCTAGGAAATAGGTTTAAGCTCTTACAGGAGTGATAGGTGTCAAAAAGAGAGAAGGTTTGGGGGTGATGTGAAGGTAATGGGGAAGGCGATTCCATTAATGCAGTTGATCGGTGTGATGAAGGGGAGTGGGTCTGGCCATGTGCTTGTGCACACAGTCTCAGAAAGAGAGGAGGAATAAAGGCTTTTGCCATTAAAATAAACACGTACTATGGGAAAACCGTGAACTTGAAACATGGAATCACCATGGGGTAAATAAGTGATACACCAGCTTATCCTCAACAGTTAGATGCGAGCGTGTTTGTACCCTTTAGGAAGTGCAAATCATTCACAGTGCTTAGCTGCCTTCAAGTCTTTTATTTACCTTTTATCTGCAACAAGGGTGTTGTAGGTTGGGAGGAGCCACCTGCATCAATTACAGGCCGTGGATAATTATAACCTGGTTAGCTATTCACAGAACTAATAATTTGGTTTCAGTCGAAGATCTGAAAAGTTAGTAGAGCAGCTTTTTTTCATGTAGTAATTTTGAGGCTGATGATGCTGCCTTTCTGTGATCACTGAAGCTCTTCTAAGAAATTTCTAATCTCTTTATAGCTGTAACATTATTGCTGGCAATTAAATTGTGAACTTTCTCCTTCCTTTCCTCCTTCCACATGAGTTTATCTGTTCCTGTGGGTGTTTGTGTGTAACAAGTCCCTAATATGTGTGGCTGGTGGTTTTCCATAGGAACACATTGATAAAGCGATTTCCCTGAAACCTGATGATCCGAAGTCTTACTACCTTTTGGGCAGGTGGTGTTACCAGGTAAAATGGTTGATTACTACTTTCTTACTGTTTCCTTCTTTGGAATTTGATGAAATTTGGTGAAAGGTGTATTTGATCCACCACCGTAAGCTTTGAGTATGATCTGTGCAGTTGCTGAATTGCAATACAGTATCAAAAACGCAGGTGGAATTGTAGGGAAATGTCTTGAGGGATCTTTGGGGGCATGTTCTTGTGCTGGATTTAATGTGGGAGACAGGACAGCTCTGTGTGGGGATTTCCTGTGATAGGTGAGAACTGCCAGGAACTTGTTTGATTGCAGTCAGGTGGTTTGGGTTTGAGACCATCCACACTGTAAACCTGTGGCAATATCTATTTGAAAAGACAAGCACATCAGATTTAGTTCAGTAGCTGCCCTTGTATACTCAGCGAGGGCTGCTGGCACTATCCTGAGCTTTGGCTTTCTCCCAGGTGCTTGAGGAAGCTCCATAAAACTGGATAGTTCACTGCCTTTGTATCCTTTTGCCTATGCTCTTTGTACGTGGAAGGTATGATAGTTTCATCTTTTTTTTTGCAGGTTTCTCATCTGGGATGGCTTGAAAAAAAGACTGCTGCTGCTTTGTTTGAAGCCCCTCCTACAGCCACTGTACAAGATGCACTGGAAAACTTTTTAAGGGTACTGAAATCTGATAAGCAAAGGAATCATTCACCTGACAAATAGGATGATAAATGTGGCATCTGAATACCTGTCTTCTGTGTAAAAGCAGTAGTCTGCAAATGTCCCATGACAGAGCTGCATTGATGATCGCGGGAAGAAAATATGGTACAAGCAAAAATTGTGGAGATACTGTTTTAGAGTAGGCTGACAGAAAATCAAAAGCATTCTGGAGACTTCAGAACTAGATCCACACCATTCAGAGAATTTTGTCTTTCCATTTAAAAAGTGCACAAAGGATACAGTGCTTAATATTAAATCCTTAAGGTCTAGATCCCTTCATGGTCTGTAAGAGAAGTTTGAACTCATCCATGGCAAAACTGCCATAGATATTCCAAATATTCTCCCGCTTTTTATTTCTCTGAGTATTTTGTAAGATGAATATCCTGTTAGGTCCAGTTTCTCAGCTGGCACTTTTGAACCTCACTTGTTTAAGCCTTCAGGGCCACGTTGTTTATGTACTTCTGCACAATATTTCCTAAGATATAGGAATCCTATTCCTGTCCTCTCTTTCTTTGTCCTTGTTGATGCAAATATATTTAAGACATGCCCCAAGTCACACTTGTGAGCATGTAGCCCTTGCTTGGGGCTAGGGTCTGCACAATATGAATGAGTTAAGCAGATGGTCTAGGCTTAGCTTATGAGAACTACTCTTGAGTGCCTCTAATGAAGTGTTACAGAAATAAATTACCCTAGCAGGGACACTGTCTGTCTTGTGTTCTCACTGCTCAGGAATCTCGGTAGAGGGTGTTTTAAATTGAATGCAGGTCAAGCTCAAGGGTAGATAATAATAACATAGTGGAAAAATGATGAGGATGAAGAGTGATGACTACAACTTAGATGCAGAGCAAGCAGAAGAGCATTAATGATTAGAAATTGGTAATAAACAAGTGGGAAGTGAAAAACAGAAAATTGGGGAAAGATTTCCTGAGCTTTGGCACCAATGTGTTGAGGAGAAGGCAAAATGGATGAGATTGCTGCGACAGTGCTGTACACGCAGGTGCTGGAGGAGGTAGTGAAGGCTCCCCAGACTTGGCATCCCAGGGAATCACAGGCACATTATGAGAACATGAGGGCTTTACTAACCAAGTCAGCCTCACCTGCATAAAATTCCTAAACTGATTTGTATACTTAAATTGGAGTTTCCTGGGATTTTTGTTGATTTTTTTTTTTTTTTTTCTCCTTAGGGAGATGCAATATTTAATGATTAAATGTCTGCTTTTCTGTGCCCTGTCCTATTGTCCTCTCTGTTCTTTGTAGGTTGAGGAGTTGAGTCCAGGATTTTCTAAGGCAGGAAGAGTGTACATTGCCAAGGTAACCACTCACCCTCTCACTAGACTTGCTGCTTATTTAATTCAGTCGTGTGCTTCTAGGATAAGAAATAATGGTATTAAAATTTTATGTGCAAAACATTTTATCTGTGCAGTGATTCTCATCTCTATCTTAAATTACTCCATGCAAAAGCAGCATTTATAAGTTAAAAATGTATATATATTTTAAAGTATATATTTAAAGGGTAAATCGTCTCGTGCAGATATATTAGAAATCACTTCTCAGTAGGATTTTGCCTTTAATCCTGTGGAACATCGTTGTTGTTTTTAACAGATGAAATACTATATAAAGTGGCTACAGTGACTTCTAAGCAACAGGTTAGAACGCCAACATCTTCCATTTCTAAAGTGATATAAGGAATAATGAGGAATTATGACCATATAAGTGGAAATAGGAATAGACCAGGGAAAATAGTGGAACAAGAGGGAAAAGAGGGAAAATGTCCCACCAAAAAAGCAACCTCCTCACCCCCAAGGAAAACAAAACCAAAGGAAAGGAAATCTAGTATTCCATGGCGTGATAGTGTTTATAATGCTTTGTGAATGAGAGATACTGCAGGAAATACCAGAAACCTGAAAGTGCGTAGAATGAATGCTTAAAAGGTGGAAGTAGCCCTTTTTATCAGTTGCTAGACGTTTTCTATAACGTGTGGTAGCTTTTTCCTGCTTCTTGTCTCTTGTTTAACCCCTGTTTTTTTCTTCACAGTGTTACAGGGACCTGGGGAATAACTCCGCAGCTCTCCTCTGGATGAATCGTGCTTCAGAGCTGCCAGTCAACACAAAGGAGGTAGCAGTCACTGCTGTTTGTTTTGCTCACGCTGGAAGATGTTGTGGTTCTTGAGCTGGGTGGTTTATCTGAGGTTAACACAATCTGGAGGTTAACAATCTGAGGTTAACAATCTGAACATGTAGAAAAACTGACCTCAGTCAAACCAAGTAGCATCTTACCAGGGCCTAGAAGTCTGGCATAACACCATGCAAATACTCTGCTGCTTCTAGGGACAGGCTCTAGACACATTTGAATGCCCTGCACAAATCCAGCAGGTCTAATTAGCTGCAACTCACAAATGGGAGTTTCTGCAAACCCCCTGAGTGCCTGCAGCACGCTGCCCAGTGTGCTGGCCTAGGGCAAGGCCTCTTGTATGCAGCAGCTTAATTGAAATGGGTGCATTTAAGCTACGTGGTGTCTAAGGGCCGTGTTACTTGTTCTAATTACCTGTGTGGCTTTAGAGGAGCAAACTAGATGTAACTGTGTGGGTGCCAAGTCAGCTGCTCAGATCCTCTAGACTGGGACTGATGGGATGTTTCTGCTGAGTGCTGCCCACCGTCTGTGGGATTTGGGGTTGTTTTTCTTTTACCTAGGCCACTCCAGCTCAACTTCTGCAAGGTTATGGAGAGTGAGTAGAGTGTATTATGTCTTAGAAATGGCTGTGTGAGAGTATTTCCCAACCGGGGGTGCTTTTTGTGCTTTGTATTTCCTATTAAGCAAAAATCGTAGAGAAGGTGCCATCAAATTCCTGCCAGTTAGAAACTGGTTAAAGCCACAGCAGCTGCTGGCTTTAATCAGATGCTCTTTGCAATATCACGGAAAATGCAAGTGAGGCAAAGAAGTTCCCCAGAATTTACTTCTGCATCTTTAATCCAACAGAATAAACATTTAGGATGTTGGGCTGCATTATAAACACACACAGCATTTTCATGGGACTCTTTTACTAAAGCCACAGCTACGCTTTGCATGGCTACACCACAAGTGTTGTACTGAGCTTTAAACCCCAAGCATGCAAGTCTTGGCCAGCCATCTGACAACATGCTGACTTCTCTGTGCCACCACCTGCAGGGTGCTGCCCAGAACTACGGGATTTACCTGGCTGCTACCTGCTGCCAGATGTAGGGAAGCCAAGGTGTCAAGCAGAGTTCCAGTCTTCCTGACTTTCCAAGGAAATACTCTAGCTCTTCCAGATGAGGAGCTTCCTCGTCACAGACTGATTGGAACAGGACAGTTTTCTTGAAAATAGCAAGAAAAAACCTGTATCGGAGGGGCAAGAATTTAATCAGAGAAGTCTTGAGGTTTTTAGGAAGACAGGAGAAAACAAGGGGCAGAAGAGCCCTCAATTCTGGCTTTTCATCTGGAATTAAAAGAAAATAGGAGTCTAGTAAGGAAGACAATGGCTTGAATGGCTTAAGTGTTTTGCAAACTTGAGTTCTCCTCATCTCAAAGAATCAGTCTCATAACTTGTATCAGAAAAGCAAGAAAGGAGGAAATTCATAAGAAACTCCATGAGAGTGCAAAGGATAGAGTTTTGCTATTGAAAATCCCTTAAATACTTGGGAAAACTTAAATAGACATCAAAGACTGTCATGTGCAGAATGTGCAGAAAAAGAACCATTTAGGAGAGATGCAGGAGTGGAAGATGTGTTGTAAACTTCTTAGGGGGTTGGAGGAGAAAAGGGGTAATTGAGGTATCTTCATATTTATCAGTTCTTTTATTGCATTTCCAGGATGCAGAAAGCAAGAAGGAACTTGAGGAGATGCAGTTAAGCTGGGAAGAATAATGTGTAAGCTGGGAAGAACAAGTGCTCATTCCCTTTGATGCTACCTAGCCCCATTAAAGGGATTTGATGATCCTGACAAAGTTGATTGCGATTCGTGGATAAACTGCAAGAGTTCACAAGCAAAATGCACAGCAGTCTCCTCAGCAGTTCCAGGAAAAGATCTTGCTGGGATTTAATCGGATAAATTGCCTGTCTGTTTCCCTCCTTACAGCACTGGATATGTTTGGTTTACAAATGGGATCAGCTAATTATGTTTGTTAGCTTCTGGTTATCTGCTCCATGATTCTCATTTCACATTCTTTTAGTGTAAACTTCCAAAGAATATATTGCACAAATTCTACACATTTAACAAACTATCAGAAGGCTGCTATTTGGGAAATGCAGTCGTCAGTTTATAGGAAATGCTGAACTTCAGGTTAACTGATTCCAATAGGAGTCTTCCCCCAAGGTCTTTTTTTTTTTTTTTTGATTCACTATTTTGACTTTTCCTGAAAATAATGTATTAAATCAATGTAACCAGCTAAAGTAACTGCTTATATGTCATTTGCATGGTTATTTCGGTGAGCTGAAGTTCAGTGCCACTGTGATCAGTGGTCTGTTTCTTTAACCTCAGTCTTATGTGCTGAAGGCAGTGGGATCCTCCTACTCTTCTCAGCATATGGACTCCAATGGGCAGGGACACTGATACTAGATAAAGGTAACTACAAAAACCTACAATGCCTTAGAAAAGTGAGTTGCCAACGTTTTCCTTGCTGTGAAAATGATGATATTGGAAACACTCCTTTTTTTTTAATTCCAAGTGTGTTTAACTACCGGTTTTCAAGCAAAAAGGTACTGTCAAAGGACCGGTGAGACATTGGTCACGATATGAAATCTATTTTTAAGAGAAATATTACTGCTTTATCTAATGCAAGTAATAAGGTTTTAAACTTGGACTGACAGCTGACATTTGCTGTGACAGATTCTAGGTACCAAACCCAAAAGGTAAACCATGCTGTACACTGACAAAGATGCTGAGGTAGAACCATGTTCAGTAGTTCAGCACCTTAAACAGAGTGCCGAATTCTAAGACTCGGCTTGATCACTGTTTTTTGTGTATGTGTGTGTATGGAAAACTCTCCTCCTCATCACTGGATATGAGATTTTAATTAACAGGACTCTTCAATACTAAATGCGTGCTTTTCTTTTCAGCCCAGTCTGTGGAATGATCAGTCTGTCTCTCTTGTTTCACATGAGCACATTACAGGGGTCTGCCTTGTTTTGAGTATTTCTGAGTGGGTGACCATATTGGTCTATGTAAATATTAAAGACTGGAAGTTTTAAAAGAGTTTTAATTATTATTTCTTTTTGGTTGCTTAAAACAGTCTGTGAATCCAGATTCTGAACATTGATTGCCAAAAGGTGATGATGAGATGATTGATCTTTTCACAGAAAGTTTGCAGGGGTTTATCTGGTAGGAACTAATAATCACTTACAACAAGAAGTTTCTGAAAGGGAGGTTTATGTTGTACTCCTAAAGGTCCCCAGGTACCCTCCCCTACCCACTTAGAGCGCTGTTAATAAATTGTGATTGCTATTGTGTGTTGTTTTATACACTATCATCTACTAAAAGTAAGTGGTTCCAGCATATGTAATAGAAAGGGTGGAAAAATGAAATACTTGGAATACCAAGGGTTGATAGCTTTACTTTGCAAACAAGTGCAAGCAAACAAGTGTCTTTTACATCGTCAAAACATTGAGCTGTTTTGAGGAGTCTCTCAATTATGCATTTTTCTGGAGGTAGATTTCTCAGTTACCAAAGGCGTGTATTTTAGTTTGACTTTCAGATATTTTATTTGATGTCTCTTTCAAAACAATTAAAATTAGAGGCTGTGAATCTGTGTAGGTGAAGTAGGCTTGAGAATAGTGGCTTGATTTGATCTTCCTTTTGCTACTGCTTGGGGTTTTGTGTTGAGTTAGGTTTGAATTTTTCACGTGGATGGATCACGTTTATGATGGTTAACTTGAAAACGGGTATGAAGTAAAACTTCCCAGGAAGAATGCTTTGGGTTACAGGCCAAGCAAAGTATGTTTGCAAATTAGACCAAAAACCGTCTTGTTTTATTATTGACAGACAATAGTAGGTAGTTTTCTCCATAGGGAGTGAAAGTATATGGTGAAACATCTCAGAAGATGTATGTAAGGCAGGTTGGACTGTGACTGGATGACATATATTTTTAAATAGACTTCAATTTGAGGTTAAAAGTATAGGATCTGCCATTCCACTTCCATTTGTCCTTTGTGTGTGTGGTATCATCTCTTCCTTAAGGAAGCTTTTGAGGTCTGTTGTTCCTATGTTCCTACAGGAACAGCTTCCCCTGGAGGCACCGCATCTACCTAAAGAGCCAGGGTGGACACAGGCATTAACAGATGTATTTCAGCTCTGGTGCAGCTGCTGGAATTGATGCCTTTCTAAAGGCCTTTCTAAGAACCTGATGAAAGGAGATGACAAAGCATGGAGAGCCTTTCAAGTGTAGGTAAAAGCTCTATTCTGTTTTCATTCTGAAATGAATCGTATGCGCTGCAACGTGATGATCAAATGAACCTCTTTAGTTTTCTCACTTCCTAGCTTGCTCTACAAAGTAAGAGGAATGTGATTAATGACTATAACTCTCGTTAAGCAATAAAATATGAAGCCTCCTCTTGTTAGGCTCTTGGTGTGCACGCTAGGAGAGAGGGCAACAAGGGAAGCCGCTGCTGTTCACAAGAGGAATGCACTTTAATTCCTTTCAGGCAACATTGAAATAATGAGTTTTGTTTTATATTTGCACATGCTTTACTGACCAGTCCCAGAGTACAATGTGACTTTCGTAAAGATTCCTGCACTGGATACATTTTAGGACCACAAAGTATACATTATTTTTAGTAAAATTTTGGTAGAAATTTTGGAAGCTGTTCCTTAAGTCTGATCAGAGGGTGAGATGGTAGTTTTTCTGGAGCTAGTCCTATTTTGAAAACATACCTACCTGTGGTTAATTTACTATATTAAGGAATAATTGAAGCTGCCTAATTTATTCTCGCTGTGCTATTCTGTTGGAAATAAAGTATTTATCTAGGGAGAAAGTGGGCCTATTTGAAGGTACTTGTGTTGATATTTTGCTTTTGATGTCAATATATATGTGTAGATGAAGAAAACTGACTGCCAGGAGAGAGTCTGTCTATACAATGTCATCGTATCTGTACACATATAGGGTATGAGAAATACAAAAGGAAATTACAGGGAAATATATAACATTATTGTTTATATAGCAGTGTTTTATAATAATGTGGGTTACACATACAGCAGATTTTGTATGTAAATATCTTGACTAGTCCTTAAATTCCTTTTAAAAAAATATGTAATACAGCCACACTCAGTGGTAAGTGATGTGCTTCAATGGAAGTTGTTTTTAAATAAACCTCTATAATGACCAGCTGTGGGTGTTGTGAGTGGCCTTCCTCTCCACGGGGCCCCTTTGTCTTCCCCCACACAGAAGACCCAAGTAGCAGAACTGTTCCCTGCATGAAGCCTGCTCTTCTGCCCCCTTCACCTCGCTCTGGTGTGGAATTGAGGCTGTAAATACCATTCTGCTGCTTATGGGATCTTCTGTTTTTGAGGAGAAATTCCCATAAGCAGACACGGGGCCTAGCACTTGGGCATGGTTAAGGCCTAGACTCCTTAAGGTTGGAAGAGGCCTTTAGAGATGATCGAGTCCAACCTCCCTGGAAGATGTCCAGGGACAGAGACTCCACAACCACCCTGGGCAGCCTGTGCCAGGGCTCTGTCACCATCACTGTTAAAAAAAAAAAAAAAATTTCCTCAAGTTCCTGTGGAACTTTTGGGGCTTCAGTTTCCTCTGGTTCTGCCAGTTGCCACCCCTGAAAAGAGGCCGCCCCCTCCTCCTTGCTCCCTCCTTTGAGGTACTTGTACATAGTTAGCAGATCCTCCTCAGCCTCCTCTTCCTCAGGCTGGACGGGCCCAGTGCTCCCGGCCTCTCCGCATAGGGCAGATGTTCCAGGCCCCTGATCATCCTCGGAGCCCTGTGCTGGACTCCGCAGCAGCTCCATGTCCCTCTTGTCCTGGGGAGCCCAGAACTGGACACGGGCTCCAGATGTGGCTTCCCCAGGGCTGAGAGAGGGGGATAATCCCTTCTCTCAACCTGCTCGAGATGCTCCTCTTGGTGCACCTCAGGATCCCGTAGGCCTTCTTGGCCATGAGGGCACTGCTGAGGGCACACGGTCACCTTGTCGTCCCCCATGACACCCAGGTCCTTCTCTGCAGAGCTGTGACAGCCATCATGGAGAGAAGAGGTGGGTCCATGGGGGTGCTTCTCCTCTCCTGCTTTGGAGGACCCCAAAAGCAGAAACTATGGCTGCTCAGGATGAGTCTAATGGCACAGTTTGGTTCAGCCCTAAGGAAGGTGGGATCTACTGAGGAAACGGTCGGGGAAGGACATGAGCTACCTCTCCTCCTTCTGTCCTACTGTTCATCATGGATATGTTCATCTCGTGAATCATCAGGTGGTTTTGACTGGTGAAGGGCTTTCAAACATAATTCTCAGGTGGTTAGAGCTTAACATCGAATCAGTGACATTGTAGAACACGCACGAGAGTTTGGGAAAGATCTTCAAAACCTAAAACATCTTGGAGAAAAGAGAGGACGTGACTATGAACCTATTCAGTGAAAGGGTTTTTAAAACAGAAAGGGATTTAAAAGTTCAGTAGTGAAGCTGGTTTCCAATTTAAAAAAAGAAACATACCAGAACTGTGAGTATCTATCTCATGTGCTGGGAAAGTTCTTACTCAGTATTGTGATAGGAATATCAGCATCACTTTCTACTAAGAAATGAGACTCCCACTCAGACTTCAAGATTTCTTCTAAATCAAGGTTTCTTTGGGTCAGAGACAGGCACCATTTCCTTATGTGCCTTGGAAATTCCCTAGGAAAAACTGACTTCAGTGGATCCTGCTTGGTTGGAGAGAGGACCAGGAGCATTGTAGGCAGTCTGGGCATTCCCATATTTTTAGAGTTGCTGCTCTGTAACTAACTCTTCCTTTAGGCTGAGATGCTCATTTATTTTGAGGTTTTTTTTATTCTTTTGCATAAAACTTTTTCCACGTTCCATGAATATTGCAATAAAGATGGTGGTGTTTGCTTTCCAAATGAAAACACTGATAGGACTAAAATATACCCAAGCTTACTTTGCCTACACTTATCTTGAGGCAAAGCACATTGTAAAATTCAGGGGAAAAGCTGACCTTAGGGAAATGCTTTCTCCTTGTGGGAAAAGAGATATGAAAATAGGGGGAAGAAAGAGAGCCAAGGGGTAAGTCTGACAAAATCACAGTTTGCTGAGTTCATCCCCACTCAGGATTTAGTTTCAGGTTTGCACACACAGGCCATACCTGTGTGTTTGCAACGACAGCTGTAATCTTAGATGAA